TGAACGCATGGAGATAGTTCGAGTTACACTGACCAACACAACTGTGAACTGAGAGAAACGAATGAGGAAGAAGTATGCCGCAATCCACACGCCGCAGAAGGAAGCATTGCCAAACAAGGTCGATTCTCGACGGTCCGCGAACAGAGAGGATATCATAGGGAACACGATAGCGCACGTGCAAGAATCCACTGCACTGATCATAGTGTAGAGGAGATCAGGGTAGGAGTGATTGCGTTTGCCCCAGAAGTACATGAAGGCTAGTAGGTTTCCGGGAAGTCCTATCACAGTGCACAGGATGAGGAGAGTACCCAGGAATATGTCAGCTGTTCTGTTGATATCAGGGGTGGGTGTGGTGTAGAGTGTCGAGCCAATGAGATCAGTACTGTTATCGTTCATGTTCTGTGCGTCCATCTTATAGCTAAAGAATAAAGATTTCGTGTTAGTCAAATGAGGTGCTAAGAGGTTTATGTCATTCTAGTTAATAAGAATTAAAGTTAATAAGAATTACGCTATTCCTAAAACAATACTTAAAACTGAAGGGGTTCCTCCAAAATATTACAAATTAAAACATAACAAACTTTGAGCCCACTCACGACCACCATATATTTAACTTTTAAGGACTCTTAGAACGCACGAAAGACTCAATATTGGATTTTATTAACCTTCTGACGGAGGGTCTCTTATAACCTGTCAGGTTAAAGTGCTACCGGACAATTACCCATCCCCCGCATGTGATTTAATTATGGTTAAGAGTGATCTCAAGTCCACAACATGACAAAACTACAAAAATAAATATCATATTAAGCCTTATTAAGCATTATATGTCATTTAAGTTACAATACTTAAAACTGGAGAGGTTCCCCCAAAATATTAAATATAAGAACATAACGAGCTGTTAACGTGCTCACGGCCACCAAACACAGCAGGGCTCTCAGAGTGTGTAGACAGGATGGGATTTGATTAACATCCTGATGGGCTGATGACGAGGCTCTTATATCATCAGTAGTGTTATTAGTACCTTATTAGTAATAACACGTCACGTTAATGGGTGGATCTGTGATTAATGAGTGGGTCACTCTGTATGTTTAAATTTCGGGGCAGATGTCTGCCACAAGCATCCCTCAGTATTCATGAAATTGGATCAACAGATGTTTTGTGCCCAGTGGCTCCAAGTTCAACGTTCTGTCGCTGTTCTGTTGCAGTACTACGATTTTGACCAAAAAATGATCCAACTGATGCTTACTTTGCCCATTTATTCCTGAGCTTTTAATTCGCCATTGATCCCGGGAGTATCCAAAAATGGATGGAGAAAATGGCGGAGATTAAGACGACAACTCGTACACAAATGGAACAAAGGCTGTTGAGTAACGTGGAATATCAATAAGGAGAGTTAACACCAAACTGTTTGATATTTATAATCCTACCCTAAATGATTGGAATAATATGCCTAAATAAAGTAGTGCGCACCTTAGTAGTGCACAGCTTGGCAGTGCACAGCTTAGTAGTGCACAGCTTAATAGTGCACAGCTTGGTTATGTAACTACCTTGAATCTTTATCATTACTTAGCTACCACCTCATATTAAATTTAATAATGCTCATTCATACCAGACGCGAAATTACAGAAAATATTGACAGAAAGACGAGCTAATATTTTAATATCATACTTAATTACCTTGAAGATATAGATAATTTAGGCAGAAAAGTATGAGTAATCTTTAAACACCGTACAATATAAAGCCTGAAATATGCAAGGGATATAAGTCATGGAGTTGAAATAAGTAACGGCACTGCTACAAAGACGACTGTAAATGTGTAATATCCGACAATCTCACGATCTTTTAGTGCCATAGTATAATGGTAATTATATAATAGTATGGTGACAATTACATCATATTTTAAAGACTAACCACTAGAATTTTCTAGAACATTTTATTTATTCAACTGGTCAAGATATGATAACCCTATAAGATATAACCCTGATAGTTAACATGACTAGGCAGTAAGAAAGCAATATTCATTACAACCTTGAAATGAAATGAAATAATGTCCATATATCCCGCCCATATGTATAGCACTAGGTACAAGTGCTAGCTACTAACCATGTTATATTCGGCAAATTTCGGGGTGGTTCGAAATGTTGTTCTTTAGCTTATTTACAATAAATATAAATGAAACGGGCTCAATCGTGGCAAAGAGATCAAACCTGAAGGGAAAAATTGAACGAAAGATTTTCGACACGGTTCAACAGATCATCGCGTCGGGATCATCAATAAAATGTGAGAGATCGAGTGACGTTTGCAACTGAAGTTTAAATTTAATATTGTCAAAGCATTAACCAACGGTTAACGGTCTCAAACGCTAATGTTCCCTAATGTAGACTAGATATTGTTCCCTAATGTAGACTAGATATTGTTCCCTAATGTAGACTAGATAGGTACTAGGTCGGTGCTACGCAGGTAGCCTCGCTTAGCTGTCTACCCACTGGTACCTTTAACGGTTACCTGTTAGGAAAATTCCCCCTACCTTTATTAGCAAAATGGTAACCAAATCTGGAAATTTTCTAAAAAATATGGACGTTTACAATTTACCTTATCTTGATAAATTCTCTCGACACAATTCTAAAGGGACTAAAAGGACTTTCTTTGACAGATGTTAAAATCGATCTATCGATTAGCACTATAGTGCTAATCTTGACAAAGTACAATAGAATCTTTGTAGGGGATCTAATCCATACGGCATTTATATCTGCCATGGCCTTAAAGACGAAAAGTTCTCATTATTTAGACGAGAAAATGGCAATGATTTTGTGCGTGAAATGTCAAGAGGTTTATGACCACCCATAAAGATTGAATTGAACGAAACATAATTATTTAATAATAATTCACAAGCTGACTGAGACTGAAATTAGAGAGAAAAAGATTCCACCCAGTCGATTCGTGACTGATCTCTCTAGAGGAGTAACTGCAAGATCAGATAAGTTTGTTGTTTGGAAGTGGTTGGGACCTCTTGCCAGGGATTACTGTATAGATCTTGTTAAAGATTCAACTGCAGCTCTCATCAAACTCGAGGAATTGGCAGCTTCCGGACAAGTAGTCGATACTTGGATCAGCTTCAGTATTGATATTGTTTCTCTATACGATTCTCTGCAACATAGCTTGGTGATGTCAGCCTTAGATGATGCTATGGAGTCGTGTAGACCAGATTGGTCTGAGGAGTTCAGGACTTGGCTGAAGGGACTGATACAGCTTAGTTTTGATTCGGCAGTCTTGAAGAATGCAGACAACTGGTATGAGGTCGTTAACGGTGTACCCACTGGAGGTATCAATTCAGTGGATTGCGGTAACATTGCTTTGTTCTTTGTCCTAAAGAGTCTGGTTTACTACCCGGTTGTTAGACCAGAGGAGCTCAAGAACCTTGATCGGTTTGTGGATGATATTTCGGGCCAAGGTATGTGGAGAGGTTCTATGATTGGTTTTGAAGAATGGGTAGGGTCATTACGCAGTAAGATGGTTGATAACTATGGCTTAGATATTACATACGAAGTGAAACCAATCACGGAGTTCACGCAGTTCCTGGACATTCAGTACAAGTTTGTTGGAGGGAGACTCACAACAGATCTGTTTAGGAAACCTACTGACGCCAACAGGTATCTTGAATTCTCAAGTTTCCATCCACGACATACCTTCCGGAGTATAGTCTTCTCACAGGCACTTCGATACAGAAGGATAATCAATGATGACGTCTTGCTGGATGAGAGATTGGCAGAGCTTCAGTTGTTTTTTGAGCGGTCTTCATATCCTACTGATATGGTGAGAGAGGTCATCAGTGATGTCAGATCGATACCAAGAACTTTACAGTACAAGGCAAAGGATCAGGGTCCCCCTTCTTTCACACCATGGATTGTTACATTCGGTGCGGGCTATGAGGAAACCAAGGAAAAGGCTAAAGAGGCCAGTAACATCATCTCAAATAGCCGTACATGGAGCAGTGAGAACCCTGAGAGGATCCCTAAACTCCAAGTGGTGACCAGGCGAGCCCCTAACTTAAAGGACACTTTATTCAAGAGAAAGAAGCTTGCCTTAGGTTCAGAGTCAAGAACAACTGACCCATGCACCAAACCTGGTGAGAAGAAGAAAGGCAGACCCTGCCAAACTTGTCACCTTGTTAGTGGCAATTCCATGGTCTCCAATAATGGACACTCAGTCAGAACTCAAGGTGGTAACTGTAAGACACGCAACATTGTGTACGGCGCGACGTGCAAACTTTGTACTGTTAATAACGTATACGTGGGAAAAACAGTCACCAGCCTCAGCCAACGTGTGAATGGTCATCGCAGTAAATATTATGAGATTTTAGAGGCGAGTAGTATAAGGGGAATGTTGAGAGCCACAGAGATTTTGATGACGAGAATGTTTTAGGGGCACATCTTTTTTCAGTTCATAATTTGAGGGAGAGATCTGATTTCAATGAAAGTTTCCATTTTGATATTTTGTGTTCTACATCCCCAGATAATATTAGAAAGTCAGAACAGTTTTATATTAACAAATTGAAGACACTTTATCCGTTTGGCCTGAACAATGTGAATTCCGTTTCTGGAAGCTAATTTTCATGGTGTCCCGAATTTTATTTTTAAATCGTCCATTTTTTGTTTATATATGCAGTCCATCAATTTTTGAATTGCATCTTTTTGATTTAATGAACTACTGCAGACTCCACATTATTATAGTATATGCCATTAATTTTGTTCCGATTTTAAACTATTCCATTTTGACGAGATGCTAAATTAATTTTTTGAGACTTTACTACATTTTTGATGAGAATTTTTGACATTTTCAAACTAACCATTGATATTCTCAGATTATGTGACTGATTAAATGCTGAAGATAAAAGAAATATATTCATTTTGCTAAGATTATGTTTGCGTTTCATTGCTCAACAGCTGTTCGAAGGATCAAATTTAAGAATACATAATTATTTACTAATATATCTCTTTTTCCAGTTGTCAAGACAAGAAGAATCTACTCTGGCAGGAGTTCTCTTTGCAGGCATGTTGATAGGCGGGCTGGTATGGGGGCGCGCAGCTGACATTTACGGTAGAAGGCGCGTTCTCCTCATCAGTCTCACTATGAATGGGAGCTGCGCTGCGTTCTCGGCTCTTACTACCACATTCTGGATGTTCCTTACTGCACGCTTCTTCAGTGGCATTGGGTGAGAAACTTGAAGAAACTTGAAGATGACTATTTTATGGTCTTACAAGTCAATGAAGTTGAGCATTACACGAATAAGGACAGTATTATTAATCAGCTTTACGTTTATAAACCGATGAGAACACAAAACAGTATTTCCCTGCAAATCTTACCGTTTTCATGACGAAGATAATCCCAACAATGTCCCTCTCCCAGTGTAGGTGGTTCCCTCCCCATCATATTCTCATACGTATCGGAGTGGGTTCCTCGCAAACTAAAGGGGGGTATCATCAGCACAGTGGCCACTTGCTGGATGGTGGGCTCTATTCTCGCTGCAGCACTCGCCTGGGCTGTTCTCCCCTATCCTATACTTGACCCTTAGTGAGTATTCTTCTTTTTGATGTTTTGTTCTCTGCAGTCAGGTTATCAGTATTTAAAAACAAGGAACGCATCGAGCAGTGGTGGTTAATATTATTAAATTATTAATGTCACTTGATAAAGTGATATATAACCCCTGACTCTGTCTCAGCTGGAAGTCATGGAGAGTATACCTATTGTTGTGCAGTCTTCCCAGTCTTCTCTCCGTCTTCATTTACTCGTTTCTATCAGAGAGCCCTGTATTCCTCATTCAGAAGGGGAGACATCTGGAAGCTATTGATGCTCTACGCCGCCACGCTTCAGACAGCCCTGCCGTATCTGTGGGTATACATTTATTTTTAGATATTGATAAGCTGCAGTGTGTATAGTATGTCGGACTGTTTTGATCGGCTCGTGTGACTGTACAACTTGTGACCGACCCACATGTGATCGAATTTGAATGTTTTGTTCGTTTGAGTTTTACTGCTCACCAGGATATTAATTAATTATCATGTTTTGTTTCAGCAAGAACTAGGAAACTTGAAGAGACTGTTAGAGGATGAAAACTTTGTAACACCGCAAAATGAGCAATGGTCGTGCTCACTTTTCATCAAAGAGGTACAATAACAGTGGTTAATGTATTTTCGATCTGTTTTCTTCTAAAACGTAATCGTCTGTAAAATCCACTCGAGGAAGTGTTATTTTCTGAAGCTAAGAGGACTAGCTGTCACGGATTAATTAATAAAGGGATTTTCTTCAGTTTCTGTGGGGAGTGGTAGAGTTGTTCTCCGATAATATGCGGAAGACTACGATTATCCTGATAGCTGTGATTCTTCCAGTTCACTTTGGGTTGGTTTATAACTTGTCACGATATTCACTAACGATAGTATGTAGTATGATTGATTCGCTGTTAATATAATATTTTTCAATACTGGGTAGTTACTACGTTCATCAAATTGAAAATAATCCCAATCCTCATTCCTGACCGCTGCTTACTCCCAGATATTACGGGTTCATGCTGTGGTTCCCGGAATACATACGGTCTCAGTCGAACAGCTCCCACATACTGCCCCCAGACTACGTTTACAAAGAGAGTGTGTACGTCTCCTTAGCCTCACTTCCGGGAAATATTATCAGCATATTTCTCACGGACTATGTCGGTCCTAAACCTATACTGTGTAAGTTGTCCGCTCTAACAATCTGGGTTGCTTTGCTTGACCTATTTGATATGTTGTAGTAATCGCGCAAAATCGCGAAACGCGCGCTTCATTTGTGCTCGAATTTATCTCTGGAATCTCTTAGTCTTACTGTTACGTTGTCATGGTTATCACCTACCTTCTTCGTCAGGTGTCAGTCAGATGTTGTCTGCAGGTTCAGTGTTTCTTCTGTACGAGTTCAACTCACCTGACCAAACTGTTCTACTGACGTGTCTCTTTAACGCTGTTACTGCTCCTATTTTCAACATGGTGGATGTGCTTATTCCTGGTCTCTATCCTACTCAGTCCAGGTGTTTTGCAATGTTTAATTTTATTTCCTTTTAAGATGATATCATTTATCAAAAATAGGCAAAGTACAGTATTTATTTTCAGGTAACCGGTTGGCAACCGGTTAGCTTAATTTACCTTTAAGGTTTTTAATCATAAGTGAGGTAATACTCATGTCTCATTGAGTTTCATGTGTATTACTATAACTGATAAAGTATTTGACATTTGTAGTAGACTTTACTCCCAACTCTGTAACCAGCCAATTTCAGAGGAACAGCGTTTGGTTTCCACGGCGCTCTGATAAGAATTGTAATGATAGCGGCTACTTGGACGTACAGTCTCTTCATAGACACTTCACCAACCGTGCCTATCTTACTGACCGCTGTTCTTATGTTAACTTCAGCTATCATTTCGTTCTTTGTTCCTAGAATCACTTCTGTTAATCATTGAACTGTGTTCAAGCTGTAGGCTATGGGAGGGAGGCTGCTATTTTATATTATACTAATCCTACCTTAAATCTCTAATCAAATAATTGTTGAAATTTCTTAAGATTTAAATTAGGAGCTATGGCCCGTGACAAAACAAATGGTCGTGATTTCTTTAGTTCTTAAATTCAATGTTGAATGTGTAATCTTATATCAAACTGTATTTCTTTTTCTTTTTTCAAAATGATATACTTTATAAAACATACTCAGATGTTTGGGCAGTGATGTGGAGCTATGGCCTGTGACCGAAAATAAATGGTCTTGATTCATTTCGCTCCCACGTGCAATGTGTTATGTAATATTGAAATGTATTTTTTTCTTTCTTTCAATAAAGATAATAAGATTTATGACGAGTTTTTATCATTTTTTTCCTGGTTTTGCTTTTTGTTTTCAACCAATTTATTACGATCAGAACGAATGAGATTTATTTTTTGGCAATTTTATCCTTTGTTTTATTTTTCTGAAACTCCGGGCATCTTAATCTAGGGGCATCGGCTTGCTCTATCCAGGGCCCTCTCGCTTGCAGTAGCGAGTCACGCAGTACGTGTAGACTCATGGCTAGGTGAAAACATCGGCTCTTAATTCGCTCGCCCAAAAATTATCACGTGACTTTGGTTTTGCAGCCGAACAAAACGGTTTTACATAAACCCTAATCCCAACCCTATAACCCTAATAACCACAAACTTGTAGGTTTACAAACTACCAGGACGCGCGCCGAGTTGGACTCGTCGACGGTCCTGGAACATATATTTTACGAGTATTATCACCCGTTAACCACAAACCAAATATATATAACCCCAGCCCTAAACAATCAAATTCGTGTTTTACTAGCCTGTCACGTGACCAAAACAGTTTTCTGCCCATAACTCTCCAGGGAAGCATTTTTACCTTACGTTGTTGGAGGACTTTAGGGCTTCGACGCGCCGCGCGAACTAGCATTCTTGCTTCGCAGAACAACGATCCCGATGGGTTGACATCGTCAATCAACCTACGTTGCATGGGGGTGATTCGAAATCAGCGTCCAAAAATACACCGAATAAGATCGTTTTCATACCCTCAGGGGCTTTTCACAAGATTTTTTAAACAAGAATTTCGCCGCGGTTAAACCACGCACGATCAATTTTCCCTAGCATGTACTTGTACGGTTGTACCATTAATTCTTTTGAGTGAAAAGTTTGACTGGAAAAAAGAGCACCATATTTACATACTGTGTTTTTTTTATAAATGAGTGGGATTCGTGCATGATAAAAATTGACGATTTATTTGACCAATGCAGCGCCGCGCATGAACAATAAATGAATCCAGAAAATTGCGGAAAATAACTTTGCGAAGGAGGAATTTCACTGTAATTAATTAACACATGGCTAGCGTCGCGCAGCATAACATACGCTTCCTATGCTATACACTTAATTATAGGGGAGTGGTCTATATTTCGAAGGAGCAGACTTTTGTCATCATCGCAGGTCCATCGGGCCACCTCATATATCCAAACCCGATTACTTATTCCCTACGATCTTTTTGCCTTCGGCAAGAGTAGGGAAAAAAATTTGGGCGAGCGAGCTAGGTATTTAGAATAATCTCGGAGATTGACTGTAGAGTGATTCTGCACGCTCGTATTTCAATTAAAAGCTGTACAAATATTTCTTACATGAAAAATTGGTCTTGGTATGTATTTTGCGGGGCCGCTTTTACTAAAATAATAATTCGCTCAGCTCGCCCATAATTCGCTCGCCCAAACATTATTACGTAACTTTTATGGCTTTGCAGCCGAAAAAACTGAAAACAGTTTTACCTTTTACATTTGATTCACGATGTCAATCCTTCGCATCTCGCCGATCTGCATACAACATGTGGTTGCGAGAAGAATTATTTGATGCGCGGCGCGACCCAGTAGTGCATCGCGCTACAACTTTTACATAAACGCTAATAAAATCCCAACCCCGCAGTTATTTATATAATAATTTGTAGCGCGATGCCAAATGCGTTACGTTACTGGGCGGCGCCGCGCATCCAATAATGCTTCTCGTGCGCAACCACTTCGTTAGATCGGCGAGAGGCGCTACTATACTGCTAAGGGGTGCACGATAAAATAAACTTACTCGGATTTTAAAACTTTCTGTACCACTGTTTTCTAAAGACTGTGAGAATTTTCACAATACCAAATTTGTCATACCTTTTTGGAAAGATCAGTGAGTTTCGCCTTATAGGTGCCATATTTGATGCTGCGCGGTTTTTGTGTTTTGGAGCAAAAATAGCTGTAAAAGTCGCGTAATTTGACTAAATTCGTTGATTTTTGTCGTATTATTCTGTATTCGGATATACCTTCGGTTCCTTGAATGAAATCATTCTGAAAATTGGCGACGACCTTCCAATAGGGCTTTCACAACTGTCCGAAAAATTTGGTGGATATCGGAGTTGATATACAATATAGTGATCAAAATGGGGCAAAATACGCTGCTTTTAGCTGTAACATAATGTTTGATGGTTGGATATGTTTTAAATTTTTCGGACACTTTCCTTGTAAGTCTATCAGTAAGCTTACCAATTTTTGTTGCAATCAGAGGTCGGAAGGATACTTAATATCTATTTGTTTGAAGAAAATTGTGCTGGCCGAAATTAGCGCTAAAAAACCATCCTACAGTCGGCACGCGCGGCTCACTGTCGATGGCGCACTACCTACTATACTACTGCATACTCAATACTGTTAACGAGTGATACTCGTAAAATATTTGTTTCAAATATTAGCAATTAGCTACCGTCGAAGAGTCCAACTCTGTGCGCGTCGTTGTAAGTTATAAACCTATAAGTAAAACAAATGCACTTGCACACTGCATTGCAGTGGCGCAAAGGCTTTGCTCTATCCATGAGAGCCCTTGCAGTGGCGCGCGCCCGTCTCCGGCCCGGCGGGCGCTTTTACTTTTTAAACGAACTCACCCGCAGTGGTGTAAGGTAGCGTTCGTGCCCGCCCCTTTCACACCTGCACCCTGACTACGCTTACGGCCTCGAGTCCCAACGACTGGAGGCTAACTCTACGTGTGAAGTTATGCACTTATGAATAATCAGGACTGTATATGTTCACAATGACTCTTAGGCCACAATTCCCAGCTCAGTGTGCGATACACAGTATATAACAATCTAGGCTCAACATAGCCGTGGGGAGTAGGAACAAGGAATACGCTTGAATAAACTAAACTAAAGCTAAAACGGATATATACAATATTTGAATGAATAAATAGATACGATTCAGAGGTAGTTGGAATATAACGACAAGATACATAATATCTCCAGACAAGAGTCTATCGATCTAAAGTAAGCTACTAAAACACATTTAAGTTTAACTACTAGTCCTGCTCGATACCACACCTCTTGTGCGGTATCTCACGTGTAGCACGAATGCTATAAGTACTACTATAAGTATAGAAGTATGAAGGGTTAAGGGTGGCTATCCGGTTGGTGTCTCGGGGTACATGGCTATCCAAAGGCTGTTCAAGGTTACTGAGGCGCACCCCTATGATCGGTGACACTAAACCAAACTAAACGCACTCCGGCGTCTTGTTCTCGTTCTTTTATAGGCCTTGTCACCTGACCCGTTTTACACCAATTTATCCATGACGTTTGCCCTCGTGATAACCCATAGTAAGCCAAAGCGATCCATAGTCGTCCATAGCACACCATAGCTACCCATTGTAGCTCATAGTCGTCCATTGCCTTCCATAGACAGCCATTGCGAGCCATAGTCGCTATTAGCGATAACGACCGTACGTTATTGATACTTTGTGCGGATATGATTCATTTAAAGAGCTTCTATAACGACTTAAGCGGCTTGAGGTCAGTGGTTGGCATTTGCACTGTTGAGCGCGCGCGCTGTCTATGTACTCCTCACGACAGCTGATGTTAAATTCAATGAAGAATATTATCCCTGATTGATTCTGATTTGTGTAAATCTTGCATTTACATATTCGCCCGTCCTTTGATGACTGGCGGTGTGTTGTGTCTATTTGCTGTTGCGCTGTTGGCTGTTGGCTGAGGGTGTTGTGCGCGCGTCTATTACTCCCTTTACATATTCGCCCATCCTTTGAGGACTGAGGTTGCTGCACACTTCGTTGTCTCTGTTTCACTTTTTATCCGTCTTTTGAAGATAAAAATTGCTGCGCGCGTCCATTATGACATTTACATATTCGCCCATCCTTTGATGACGGAATTGGTTTTGCGCGTGGTTTGCAACATTTTGTAATCAAATATAAGGTCCTTCGCTCAATGACTGATGTCCATTGTCTTTGTTCACGGTGCTTTGCGGTTGCTTATTCTCTTAAAAACTGTCAGCCAAATACCATGCTGTCTTCAAAATATCATACTAATATATACTACTACTAATAATATATTTATATAATACTATTAGCCACATATTCTATTATACTAAAATACTAATTATTAATCTTGCACAACCCGTCGAGTTTGCTTGCGAGTGTTACTCTCGGGTTAAAATTAATGTCCTTCTTTAAAATTTTAACTTTCTGTTGACATCCAGATCAAATATGGATATTAAAATCTCTTTTCACAATTTAATATAATACTTTAACGAAATAAGCACATTTCAGCAAATATCGTTGTCTTTTCTAGCTTACTAGTGCTATGTACTTCTCATAAGTTCTCAATTAATTTATTGCATTGTCTGTTTATAGTTTCTTCTTATTGTAGTTCTTTTCGGTTTTCTTGGCGCTGGTCTGTAGCCACGAGTTCTTCAATTTTAGATTTCTGTTCCATAACTTTTTGTTATGCTGCTTCCTGTCTGTTTCTTGTGTTTTTTATTTTTTCTGCAGTCCAAGGTCCATGGTTAAGTCCAAGTTGATTTTTTGGTCTAGCTCTGAGAACACTGTTGGTATAGCTTTTGTCTTTCCTTTATTTCTGGAAGCCATTTCTTCTGTCCCAGGTTCTTGGATAGGCGAGGAAGCTCTTTGTGGCCGGAAGGACATATTTTCATTCTTGGCTTCATTTTTGGTGAGGTGATTGTCTCCCCCACTGATGGCTCTGGGCGTGATGGTCAATGGTATATTTGTTGTCCCTGAGGCACTTCTTTTTGGTGCTGACGAGCTTTCCTCGAAATTTCTTTCCAACTGATCGTAATAAATGCGATTGTCCACCAGTTCTACAGGTTCGTATTCTTCTTGACCTCTTTTCCGCTTGTTCCTTCTTTTTCTCAGTCCTGCCATATTTTCCTCTATGGACTTGGATATGTTGATGTTTATTGGGGGTTGTCCACCTGATAGGAAGTTGCTTCCCACATTGGTCCTAGTTTCCTTCTGGCTTTTCTTTTGTTTTCTGGCTTTGCAGCAGTTGATGATGATGGTGATTAGCCATAATATTATTCCGGCATACGCTGCTAGGTTCCCTGCCCAATTCCACCAGTTATCTTCAAAGAAGTTGCTCACTTGTTTTGTGGTGGA